TTCTATCGATTTTGTTATTGTTAGGCACTTTACCGGAAATGTTAAAAAACAGTGATGTTTTAGGTAGAAATAATAATATTTTACGTAATTTTTTACCCATTTTGTTATTTAAATAATAACAAAACCGGTAACGCCTTTTTTAGCTGTATATTAAGGGTGATGCACTGTAGAGCTTCACGAGAGATTGTTGAACTATATTTTGATATAACAATTAAGGCAAAATATTTTTTTGACTTAAATTTAATTTATTCAAAGTTTTTTAAAGTTTTCAAAAATAATTCAAAGTCCATTTAAAAGTTTGGAATTGAGCACAAACGTTTTTCTGGACAAGTAGTACCGATATTGTTCTTAAAGTATCGATACCTAATGAACAATACCGATATTGTTCATATGGTACCGATACCAAAGGTAAGGGAAGTATCAATACTCACTAGGTAGTACCGATACTACCAGCATTGCTCAAATTCCATAATGCAAAAATGGTACCGATACCCAAAGGGGTACCAATACTACTCTACATAGTAGTATCGATACCATAGGCATAGTATCGATACCATTAGGCCCCAACGGCTAGTTGATTTAAAAATAACAAAGGTAGTACCGATACCCCTTTTTTGGGCAGCTTTATTTTGCACGAAAATCGATCCCCAACGGCTCCAAAACACTTCGAACGGCTATAAACAGTCGCAACAACATTCCAACATATAAATATAAGTTGAGGACACTTAAAGAAGGGTTAAGAACACATATCCAAGCAATCAAACACAAGAGAAGAGTTTTTCATTCTTATTTTCATCTCTCTTTGTAAATATTGTGTTTGTATGAGCTTAATTCTTTGTAAACACCTACCTTTAAGAGGTTTATTTGTTTACTTCTTTTTACCTTTTGTAAAAGGGGTTTGGTTCTATCTTAGCCAATTGAAAAGATAGGGAGTTGTAAATGTTACTCTTGATCCTTGAAAAAGAAAGAACAAATTAGTGGATTTATTGGAAAATCCTAAGTGAGGAGCTTAGGTAGTGGATGTAGACTTGATTAAGAAGTCGAACCACTATAAATCTTTGTGCTCATTGTCTTATCTTTTACTCTCCTTACTCCCTAATCAAACTATTGTCAATTAACCTCCTTTTCACATTTTGGTTGTTCAATTGAGCCTCTTCAAATCCTAACAACAATAATTAGAACTATTGAGTTGATTATTTTTTTAATTTTTTAATGGTGGTATGACATTATTTTATGATGACAAATCAACGTTACCAACGTAATTTTAAGTGTGATTTTAAAAAAATAATTGAATAACCAAAATAAAACTATGAGAACAATTAAGTGACTAAATACATAGTTTACCCTATCTTTTAATGCATTTTTTTCAATGGCTGTTTGGATGCTTTCTAGAATTGAGGAACACAATTTTTGATATTTTAAGAATTAAATTAATGAAATATTAAAATATATAGTTAAATTTTAAAAAATAGAATTAAATTAAAATAAAATATAAAAATTAAGGACAATTATAATAGATCAAATTAGTCAATCAATAGATGGAATACCGGCTATTATAAAAAAATATAATTTACACTGTATTTTCTATTATACGTTATAACTCATGTCATAAATACCTTAAAAAATTAGCACGTAAGTAATTGATCCAATGGATGTATTGTTTGGGCACACTTAAGAAGTGTTCAGTTTGCAGAATGTATTAGAATAAAATAATTGTACTGTAATATTATTTTGAGAATATTGTACCATTTTTCTTAATTTATTTAGTATAAGTATCAAATTACAGTGCTTGCCTAAATGAATATAAAATTACTTGAATATATAATTTATCAAATTATCCTTTATGATATATATTCTTTTCAATAAGTTAAATTTAAATATTAAGTTAAAGATATTTTAATAAAAAAATACAAAAATATTATAATAATTACATTATCTAACTTTTGAGAAAAATATATTTAACATATAACTAATATAAATAGTATTTCAAATTTATATTTTTAAATAATTTTTGTAAGTATCATATTTATTTATATAAAATATAATATAATGTGAAAATATAATGTTATGGTCTTGATTAGACAAAGATATTATTTTTTTAATATATCATATGCATTTTTAATAACTCAAAATAAAGATATTATTTTAAACCATTACATCATGTGTAATACTCTGGGATTCTTCAACAAGCAAATCCATCGTTCTTGGTTTTTTAGGGAGCACGATTCTCATCCGTCCGTCACCAAGGGCGGAGGAACACGAGGAGACTACTAAAAGGAGCAACAAAAGGTTTTGTTTGGTGGCATATTATGGGACCACAAAAGAGAAGCCGTCAGAGAAATTGTGGCATGATAGGGTGACTGAACCCTCCCCATCGTAGGAATGTTACAAGCTTCGACAAAAGTAGAGGAGCAAACGGATTCTTATATGGAAGAAGAAATTGTCGAAAGCGAGATACCAACGATCAAGATCACAACAGAGTAAAAACTAAAAATTCGTGAACCTTAGAGAAAAGCCTTAATAATCAAGGTCCTAGGGAAGACTCGCTTACAAGGCCCTGATCAATAGAATCACCTTGCTATGGAATCTTATGGGGAATATGAATGCATCAATTTGGGAAATGGATTTTATGCCATCAAGTTCTAAAATCTTGGGGATAGGATGAAGGTCCTAACGAGGGTCCTTGGAAGATTATGGACCACTATATCACGGTTCAGAAGTTATGTTTTAACTTTGTCGCGGCGAGTGCATGTATCTCGTCAACAACTGTTTGGATTCAGATTTCGGGCCTTTCGGTCAAATATTTCGACTAAAGTGTTCTTGTGGAGATAGGTAAATTGGATGGAAAGCCCCTAGACTTTCACACAGCCTAGACCATATGTGGAAAGTTTGCCAGAATCTGTATGGAAGTTGACCTTAATAAGCCCCTGTTGTCAAAAGTCCGGGTGGGGAACATGATTATGGAGGTAATGGGGGAAACTGGGTCTGCAAATGGGGTTTAGTCAGTTTTTTTCCCTCTTTTTTTCGTTGTTTTGGTTGGCCATGGAAGATTGAACTGCTAACTGAGGAGCAAATATAGAATATCAAGCCATGTTTACGGTTATCTTTTATGCAGCAGCCCTTAAGTTCAAATTACATTGTTCAATCCAAAGTTTCATACTTTCAACTTGTGCTAACCTAGTTTTTGTAAAGAAATATACTTAATTCTTTTCTTGATGTAGTTATATCCATGTTTTTGTGTTTCTCTTATCCAGGTTTTGCCTGTTTCAAGGGCAAACCACAGCAGCTGCATTTAGGCTGAAATGGAACTTTCAGAAGTGAGAAATTTATGGTAAACTATATAAATGGTCACCAATGTTTTAGTAAAGTTTAGTTTTCATCGTTGAAGTTCCAAAACTAACAAATTTGTCACTAACATTATTGATTTGTGACAAATCGGTCACTTGAAGTTAACGGCTATTAACATAGGTGACGAAAAACTTACCTAACTCGTTAACCACTAACCTGGATTGTTTAACGCCACGTTAGAGAGCATATTGGACTTCCTGTTGACCGACACTTCAACTAATATTATAATATATGAAAAGAAAAAAAAAACTCCCAACCCTAAACTCGTTTCTTCTTCCATTCGTCTAAGAAAGAACCAGCTTGAGAGAGAGGGTTTAAGAGAGAACTTATTTCCACCGCTTGATTCAGGATCATCTTCTTGCTTAATTTTTGTGATATTATTTTATATCTACATAATGGAAGGAACGAAAATGTCGTGGGCACCTATGTTGAGCTATATTTGCTCCTATGGCCAGTGTTTCGTTTGTTTGATGATGCACCTCTTTTACCTTCTGGTTTGAGCCCTAAATCAGTGGAACAAGTTGAAGAAGATGATCAAACAAGTTTAATTTAATGTTAATGCACTTCTAGATAAATACAAAACCCTAAGAACATTAAGAAACCCACTACTTACAACAAGGTCACGCTTTGATCAACAGTCTTCTACTCTACTATAATCGTTACTTTTTCTCTATAAAAGCGACAACACCATGAACGAGAAAACTTTTCAAAAAAAAAAAAAACAACTGAAATCGACCTTTTTTTTGTTTCTTGAAATTGTTGAATCTTTTTATAACTTCAAACATTTCATCAACTTGTTAAGCTATCTATAGAAGTGTTGCATTCAAAGTTAAAACTATGTTAAAGATAAACAGATAACATATTTGTTTAGTTAAGATGTTTGATATAATATGGTGGAAACATATACTAGATATTTATGTAGAGGCGCATTAACATTAAATTAATCTTGTCTGATCATCTTCTTCATCTTGTTCCATTGGTTTAGGGTTCAAACCATCAGGTAAAAGAGGTTAATCATCAGCAAAAGAAGCACCGGACATGGTAGTAAATAACTCAGCATAAGTGTCCACGACATTTTCATTCATTCCATTATGTAGACATAAAATAATACCACAGGAACAAGGGGTGGAAATAAATTCTCTCAAACCCTCTCTCAAGATAGTTGTTTCTTAGACGAATGGAAGAAGAAAAAGGTTTAGGGCTCAGAGTTTTTTTCCCCGTATATTATAATATTAGTTGAAGTGTTGGTCAACAAGAAGGCCAATATGCTCTCCAACGTGGCGATTAACAATCCAAGTGGTTAACGGGCTAGGTAAGTTTTCCGTCATATGTCACCCATGTTAACAACTATTAACATCTGGTGACCAATCTATCACAAATTGATAACGTTATCGTCCAATTTGTCACAAATCAATAATGTTAGTGACTCATTTGATAGTTTTTTAACTTCAGTAGTAAAAATTAAAACTTACTCAAACATTAGTAACGATTTATGTAGTTTATCTTAAATTTATTTTGGTCTCTCGTTAGAGCCTTCTTAGATTTCCAGTTAATAAAGCTTACGAACTTAATCAAGCACATAGAGAACTCAATCAAAATTATGGAAAATGTTTCATCCATGCCATCTAAAGCATCTTGATTTTATATCTAATGCAGAGTGTCAATGACCAGGAAACAAAGTAAGAAGCAAAGCCTAAACACGTAATTCTCCACAATAGAGAACTACAACATAAACACAATCCTTGATTTCCAGAACACACAAACTGTTTATGCAGAGCAGCATTTCTCAACCAATTCTTTTAATACTAAAGCTGATGTAATTTACTTGGCAAGAGCCAGATTCTCCTGCTGCTGCTGATAGTTAAGAGGCCTCCTGAAAAGCATGATGTGTGGTTCGGGACGATGAATAGCATAATGAACCCATCCACGACTCTGCTGTACTCCGATTGCACGCCACTCATTCTACAAAAACAAGGAATACCCAAAATCAGCACCAATACAACTTGCTTCAAGGTTTAAACCCTAATGAGAACAAGTGTAAACTACTACACTAGATAGAGACGGAGACAACATTTTATATTAAATTTTATATTAAAGGGTAAACTCTAAATTATTAATCAAGAGGGAACTTTTAAAATTTTAGGAAATGTGAACTTATAAAATTCCAAGGATAATAACAATTTATCAAAAAAATACAAAGTAAAATTTTAAAATATATGAGGGATAATCCATCCTCAACTCCAAGGGTGTGTTTTGGTATATCTAACTAATGCTTGTAATACAAAGCACATGACATTTAACATCATAGTTTACTCATTCAAACCATACTTCAACAGTAAGCCAAGGGGTAAATATACTGCAAATCATATGACAAACATCACAAACTAAGAAATCTGAAGCTTATAATACATGTGGGCAAGTGTAGGAAGGACTAGGCATGGTTTCCGTCAGCGCAACATTACCCACTGTATTAAAATGATTTTTTTTATCAATATAGACAGTCAGCTATTTTCTTTTCTCATCATTGATGAACAACCAAATCAGAATTGATAATTATGATTACTGATAATTAGTTATTTTCGTTTCACAATTTATGGGTATTATTAAATTAAATAAGTACCGAGTTCAATTTTTGAAACTAAGCAAAAGTGGAATTGAATAAAAGATTAACATTTCAGTAAAACCCTAAGAAACAACAAACAAACATACTTCAGAAAGGAGGCGATTCTTTGGGAGAAGTTTGACCACTTCAGTAGGAAGAACAACATGCCTGTACGATCACCATCAAAAGAAAATTGAAAAAAAAGAGTATGAAATCGAAACTAATTAAAACAGAAAAAGAAATCCCTAGCCTAGCGTTCTGAAAATAGAACATGAGATGAGAAGCAGTAAAATGTTATGGAAATTAAGTATTACCTGTATTCATAAATATCATCGAAGTATTTCTCAGAGTATTGAATTTGACCCATTTTCTTCTTTCCTTAAAAAAATAAACTAATGTTCTGGCTCTGTTAGAGATCAAAGTTCGATTTCAATATTCGATCAGCCAGAAACGAAACAATTGAGAGAAAGGCATGCGATGATTATACATATAATCTCTCGTAATATTAACAATAATAAATCTAAACAGAAAAAATTTCAGCGTACCTTGAGGGGGAGTGAAATGGGGATTTGTGATTTACAAAAGGAAAAGAGAGGAAGTAGAAGTTAGAACGAGGTATAAACTAAATCTTTATAAAATAAAAAGGAATTTAAATTTCAAATTTCTCCCGCCGAATCATTTGCCGTCGCTCTCGCTTCATTCTTTTTCCTTTTCTTTTCAATTTGGTTCAGCTAAGGGGTCTAATATAAGTTTATCAATGATGTACGTTATTTGGAAATATATAAGTAACGTCGTTATATTTTTTTATTCAAATAAAAACCGTTAATTTTATTAAAAAATATCTCAAAATTATAATAAAGGTTTATAATCATAAAAGAAAATTAAACACATAATTAGAAAGTTTAGTATAACCATTGATACAATAAATTAATCGCTTAAAATTATATAATAACTATACAAGGAAAATAAAAAAAATTGAACAAAAAATAGATACGAACATATCTGATTATAAAAAAAACCACAAAAAATGATCAAGTTATTAAAATTCCATTAACAATCACAAATCAGAGTTAAGCGCCTTGAGAAAACTATTTCCGAACACAAAATGTGTATTCAAATCTGATTCGATGGTCCAAAGCACGAAAAGTCATCACGATAACAAATAAGGGCCTGTTTGTTTCACTGAAAACATTATTCAAAAATGTTTTTCATAAAATTGATTAAATTTTCTAGAAAAAAAATTTATTGTGTTTGGAAGATATTGCATAAATCATTTTTCACTAATTGATAATTTTTTTAAAAATTCTTTATTAAAAATATGAAATATAATATAATACTATTTATTATAAAAATTAATTTTATTATTTTTAAAATATCAAAATAATTTATTCAATATTATGTATGCCAACATTATTATTAAAATATTATTCATGTTAATATTATTATTAAATTATTAAAATTAGTATATTCTATTGAAATAAAAAGTTATAAATTATTAATTATTTATTAAAATAAAAATATAATGTATTGTTAAAATAAGAATATAATATTATATATTATTATAATATAATTGAGTATATTATTATAGTATTAAAATTACAATAATGTACTTATAGCCCCTATTGTACTTTATAACAATTATTTGTTATAGTCATTTGTATTACTTAAAATTTTGATTGTGTACACGGACCAAGTTATTTTTGTAGTTAAAGAATGTTTATTATTTTTTTATTAAGTTAAGGTGATTACAAATTAGTATTTATTCTAAATACTTTCAATTATTTGATAATAAACGTTCAATCACCCTACTGTAGTCGCCGGTACTCGAACACATGACATTTACGAACAACAACGATTTTTTTAACCACTGAGGTAAATTGTCCGTGTTATTATCTTTAGATGTCTCAAGTTTGAATAGTTTGTTCAAATATGAATACTCTAGAAATATTGTAGTTATAACCCTATTGTACTTTATAACAATTAATTTTGATAGTAGTTTGTATTACTTAATATTTTAATTACACACACGGACTAAATTACCTCAGTAGTTAAAGGATGGTGATCATCTTTACAGGCCTCAAGTTTAAGCACTAATGATGACAGTGTATTTAAGATTTTATTGTCAAATAGTTGTGAGTCTTTAGAACAAATATTAATATTTCTAATCATCCTAGATTAATAAAAATAATTGATTACGTTAAAATATGCTCTAAGCCATTATACTCGTCATGCATTTGAAATCCAGTCCTTTCTTTTATGAACTTTTAGTTCATCTACTTTTTAAATTTAAAATTCAAACACAATTGTTAACAATGTTAAAAGTCATTTGTTGAATTCATTTATATGATATTTTTGAAATAAAACAAAACATTAGCTTGATAGACATATAATAAAAAAATGGCATTGATGCATTGTAATAAACTTAAATTTAACAAAATAATAATAATGATATTAACAAATAAAGTTGGTTTTTAATAGGGTAAACTACACATATGGTCACTAAAGTTTGAGTAATTTTTATTGTACCCAATGAAGTTTTAAAAGTAACGAATTAGTCACTAACATTATCAATTTATAACAATTTTGTCACTTGCCGTTAACGTGAGTGATGAAATGCTGATGTGGTACGTTAGAGCCACTTTGACCACTTTTTGAGTCTAAAAAATTATTTTTTATAACGAACCCCTATTTCTTTATTCCACCTTTCCATCCTGTCGTTCATCTTCTTCCTTGCAAGAAACCTCATCAATATATCTATAAAAAGATATCCCAACAGTACGACTATCTCCCAACCAAGTATGTGACCAACACCATCAACAGTAAGGTTCAAACAATTTGAATGCCAAGCCAACCAAGCAAGCGCCACCAGTGAGGAATGCACTGTTGCGTGGGGTTTGTTTCCTTTTTGCACTGCTTGAAACATTGCTCTCACTTATTCATTCTCCATGGTTATATTTTAGGCATGTTTTATTGTTGGGATTGTACAATTGAGTTTGCAATATGTATGTGTGTATGTAGAAGAGAAGGAAAATATAAAGCACAAGGACTGTTTGAGTATGCTTTATACTGAACACAAGGATTGAGCTTTAGGACCCATTCTTCAACTAGTTTTTTGTTGCTGGTTTGATGAATGTAGAGGAGTGAATGTGCTTGTCTGGGTGTAGAAGAGAAGAAATCATGGTTGCTTCGTGACGTTAGAGTGACCGAGTCCTAGTGAGTGTTCTTCTCTGGGTGTTGATGAGAAGAAATTTGTCTTAAATGTAGAAGAAATAATGCCGGAACTTTTTATGTTTTTGTTGAGAACATTTCAAACAACTACATCTTTTCAGATGATAATGTGATAGATCAATTAAGTTGGCGTTATCAATTTTTCGTTTCTAAGATAATCTGCACCTAGTAGTGGCATCCAGCTTCATTATTTTGTGTGTTCTGCTTTAAGATCATCTGCTTAAGCAGGTTGACACCCCCGGTTTGTGACATACTCGGTTGGGAGCTAGTGGTATCGTGGGATACAAGAAGATGGAACGGTGGAAAAAGAAAATGGGGGTTTGTTATAAAAAACATTTTTTAGAGTCAAAAAGTGGTCAAAGTGGCTGTAACGTACCACATCAGCATTCTATCACCCATGTTAACGGTCGTTAACGGTGAGTGACTAATTTGTTATAAATCGATAATTTTAGTAATTAATTTGTTACCTTTAAAACTTTAGTAGGGAAAATAAACACTTACTCAAACTTTAATGACCATCTGTGTAATTTACCCTTTTAAATATAAAAAGTATTTTGTACTTGTAACATATTTTAACCTTCTAATTACAATTGGTCACCCAACTATTAGCATTTTCTAATTTGGTCACCATACTGCATTTTATTTATTTATTTATTTATACATCAACATTTAAAAAGTTGATTATTTTGGTCACTCGCCCTTACATCATTAACAAAATTATTTTAGTGTCCCATTTTTATTGGCATAATAGTATTTTTAGCCTTCAATATTTAAACATTCTATCAGTAATAATTCAACAATTTTAATATATTTATATCTTAGTCATCCATGTAGGACACTTACAGGGATGGTAAGTACACATGGTAAGTATCATATCATCCATGGTCTCAACCAATAACATTTTTTCATCTCACTTTTTTCAAGGTGAATCTTTCCCTCTTTCCTACGTGTAAATAAGGAGTGGACAGTTATTTGAAAGTTATTTTAAAATTAATGGATGTGATTTACTGAGACCATGGATGATGTGGTAAATCAGGTCCATGAAATAATTTCTCGAGAACAGAGGTGAAAGCATGACCAAATTGAAACCATTTCAACTCAATAATCAAACACACATGGATCTTATTGTAAATGTCACACAAATAGCACGAAAATCAAGCATTAAACCAACTCAAAAGTCAAACCAATATATTTCTAGTAATTTTGTTACGCATATACCTTTTTACTAAAAGCGTGGTTTTGTTTTAGCAAAACTGAAATTTTCAAAAGTTCTTTGAGAAATATTAAACAAGAATTCTTGAGGAATAATAATTTTCAGAATTGTACTCTTACGTTTGATTTGTGGAAAAATCATTATCAAGTAATAATTTATTATCATTAGGGAACGTTTGGTTCATAGAATGTAAGATTGTTTTTGTAAATATCGAAATGTAATATTATTATAAGAATGTTGTACTATCTTGTTTGGTTTGTTTGGCAGGAATGCATGATAACAATATTGGGTTTGAGGAATATAAGAGTATTTGAACGCATATTTTACTAAATTATCCTTATGACAAATGTTATTTTCAACAAGTTAACTTTTAATATTAAATCATAAATATTTTAAATGAAAATTTATAAAAATATTGTAATTGGTACAAATGCCTAACTTTCGAGAAAAATATATTTATCATATAATTAGTATATTAAATTTATATTTTCAACTAAATTTCATAAATATCAAAATAAAATATAAAAGTTAAGAGTTAGAACTAGAAATAGAATTAATTTGTTATCTTTAGGTTAAATGTCTATTTTTAAAATCGGCGATTCAATAAAAAATATCTTATAATTAAGAGGTTATTTACATAATTTACCTTAAAATTATTCGTATTAAATATCCCAAATATATCATTCACATATATCCAAATCACCGTTATAATAACAAAAACCAACTTACCTCAATAATTAAAAGAATCGTTATTGTTCATAGAAGTTACGGGTTTAAGGACCAGCCACTGAAAGGTGATTGAGTGTTTATTGTCAAATGATTGAAATTATTTAAGACATATACTACTTTGTAATCACCTCAGTTTAATAAAATAAATCATGGTTATAATAAGAAAGCATGATTATAGATAAATTATAATATATAACCGTTATAACAAGTGAGTTTAAGATAAGGTATGCCCCCTCTTTTGACCAAAGCTTTTTTTATTGTTTTTCATGAAAGAGGATCATGCATGCATGCTTCAGTTCGGCCCTCAAAAAAGAGATATATCCAAAGGAACTACCTTTGGCATAAGTTTAACATGAGGGAAAACAAATTCCATGTTCTCTGCTCGACAGCTCAAGGCCCCAAGGATATATACTGCAAGGTGTCCTACCATTATAAAGTTTTAATTTAGTAAGACATACAT